TTTCTAAACTCAAAGTTTTTGAAATGAAACTACCCAGATTATAACCTGCAAATTATTTGGGAATTTAATAATTTCTAAAATAAAACAAAGTTTAAAAAACACCTACTCCTAAAATTCTTCAATGTGAACAGAAGCAATCATGTTTTAGGTACTCCTGCTTCAAAATTATAAAATTTCCTTCAGCAAGCACTTACCTAAGGCAAGCAGGCTAGTTAGCCTTTAGCATTTTACTTATTTACTTTTTTATTCATGATGACTTTAAAAACTGGCATCTGCATTGTTTTTTATTTTACTTTGTACTTTGCGTAGCATATTATAATTTAGTTTTAAAAGGTAGTAAATCTAAATAAAAAAAGAGTCCTTATCTTTGTTGTAAACTGCATTTTTAATTTCTGAAAAGTACAAAAATAACTATTTAAACACAAGATTATCATTCAGTTGCTGTTTGATTGGCTGGCAAGCCACATGTCACTAAACCTGTTTGTAAAGATTATTTTATGATCACTTGCAAAACCAGATGAACAGAACTTCTCTGTTTTCTTCTCTATTACTGTAATTGTTCTTGATGTTAGAAAAAGAAACAAAATAAAAAAATACATCTAACTTTAAGACAAAAGTGCCACAACCAATGATTTTACAGTGACAAAGATACAAATTATCGATCAAAATAAAACAGGAAAATAGAAGCAGCTAATGTAGTGATTATACAGTATATTCATCAATGTTCAATTAACTTGCAGAGAGAGAAATTAGTGTTTAAAAATCAGGGTTTGAAGTAACATTTACATCAATAAAGTTCAAATATAGCAGTTTTTAAGGAGAAAAACATTTACAAGTCTGAGAAAACACCTCAAAAACATTGTCCATAAAAGTGCTTAGTAAAAAAAACACTGAAAGTCTATATACATTTATGAATAGAAAATCACAACATTGCAAATTTTACAACACGTGTGACAGTGAGTCAAACGGTAAAGGAGGCATTTAATTTACAGATTTGTGTTTTCCACCTGGAACATTTTTAAAACAAACTTAAAATGTCTATTTTATTTAAAGACCTARACGTATTCCTTGGGGCTCGCTGCAGATTGAGCCTTGGAGTACCGGACATCGTAGTTGTCGTACCTCTCCTCACTCTTGGGGCAGGAGCTGCAGAGGAGGGCCCCTCCCAGCACCAGCAGGCCAGCGGAGCCCCATCCGATGTASAGGGATGCTCCCAGTTCCATTTTCTGAGCGCTGAGCAGGGTTGGGTTGTAGAAATCCCGGATGATGGTGTGGGCGGTCCAGCAGACGGGGACGAGCACCAAAACGCCTGCGATGATGAAGACAACTCCGGCGGCGACGGCCACTCTGGCCTTCTGATCCTCTTTCGTGATGAAGTTGGTGCACTTGCCACCCACCACGCCCAGCAGGATACCGATGATGGCAACAATGATGGCGATGACGACGAGAGCTCTGGCGGCCTGCAGGTCCTGAGGCAAGGCCAGCAGGGAGTCGTAGACCTTGCACTGCATCTGGCCCGTGCTCTGAGTCACACAGTTCATCCACAAACCCTCCCAGATGACCTGAGCAGTGACGATGTTGGCGCCGATGAAGGCTGTGACCTTCCAGGTGGGGAGACCACAAATGATGATGGCTCCCAGAAAGCCGATGAGGGCCAGAGCCATCCCCAGAATTTGTCTTCCKCCTGACACCATCCTGAAGATCTGTCGCTGTCTTTACCGATGAGAGCCTGTTTGTCTGGACCGGAGCAGCGAGTGGTTTTTCTTGCTCGTTCGGAGGAGAATCTGACCGTGGACTCTCCTCTAGTTGGTTTTAATGATTGAAAAGGTGTCAGAGGAGGAGTCTGTGTCRACACAAAGCCGAAACTGGTTTGAGAATGATTCTCACCCAACCAGCTTGCTTCCCAACATYGATGACAAAAGCAGCACAGTTTCGGAGCTGTTCTAAAGGACCATAAAGGGAAAAATGACAAGAAGGACAAAACTGAACATTTTTACAGCATTAAAACATTGACATGTTTGTTTTGTAGATTTAAAAGTTAATTTTTAAAACATTTGATTGACGTAAAATATCCAAACAATTGAAAGAAACTAATTGGGCAAACAGGGACTTACCAARTGATTCATGCAGAAAGAAATGCAACTGTGATGTCAGATTCAGTGAGAAATCATTTCATTCATTGTTTAAAGTTTATTATTATTATTATTATTATTATTATTATTATTATTATTATTATTATTATTATTATTATTATTATTATTATTATTATTATTCAGTTTTAAAGAAAAGTTAGAGATGGTGTCATGATGAGTCTTTCTTGTCGATACCAGAGTTCAGTTTTCACTCAGATGTTCACGTCACAACTTCTGGAAAGGGAAGTTTCTTACCTCCCTCTCCTTTTTAGGTCACATCTAATCTGATCTAACATCAAATCTACAAATTATTTATTGTTTTGACGAGGTAAATACAAATGTGAAGGAAATAAAAGACAATATAATCATGACTGGTGACATCATTTGTGMCAAATTTTCCAGTAGAGGTAATTATGCTTCTGCCATCACAGGATTTAGAAAGAAAATAAAAAGAAAACACAATATTTCTAAAAGAACAAAATTACTGAGAGTTATCAAGTAACTAAAGCCTATAGAGAAAATCTTGTGTTTTTTTAATTTTCCGGTTATTATTTGTCACAATTTCTACTCTTGGTGAAGTTTGAGTCATTATTTCTACAATTTCACCGAAAATCACAAAAAATGTTGTTTTCAGCTCCTAAAAATAAAAACAGAAATTTGTGAACGTCTAAATAATGGTTTAACAGATTATTGACTAACAAATGATATAAAAGCTCATCTATTTCTAAAATTTAAGAAAAATAAGAGAGCATTGATTTTTAATGTTTTTAGAATTTAACGTTACCCCTGCATATTCTCTGCCATCATTCAAAGTTTCTGACAATAATAACCAATATTTCATGTGAAATAATTTTGTGTCATAGCTAAAATTCTCACCACTTGAGTCACTGGATAATGTGACATTTAATAAGGGACATCTTTGTTTATAAAGATTATTTTAAACAGACATGTWATACTTTTCTTACCAAACTAAATAGATTGTACTCTGACATGACTCAGCCTCATTTAGGAGCCACAAACCAGCTCAGACCTGACAAAAAAAAAACAAAATGGTTTTAATTATTAAGCAAACTAGAAGCAAACCAGTGATATTCCACTGGTTTAGAACATTAATGGGCTTCTTTACACCCACATTAACCTTCAAATGCACAATAATTTAATATAAGGTTAGAATATTTAGACCTTTTATTTCCTGTATTTGACGTTGAAACAATGTTTATCATCTTCACTTTGTACCAGCTGACATAAAGGTGCGGCTCGCTGGAGTCCGCCTTCTTTGTCAGGGCATCAGTCAATGAACCACTAATACAGATGGTTTCCTTCTGAGCAGCTGAGTTACATCAAGATCAGGAAAAACATAACTCCACCCAGCCGGCACAGCTGGTGAACAAATAACTGGATTTTACAAGAAGCTCAGTACAATACTCCAAGTGAAGCAACACAAGCATACAGATTCCTCTGTGTGTGTGTATATATATATATATATTGTATACATTTTGCTAAAAATTACAGCACGGCTATTTGGCCAATAAGAACTCCATTCAGAACACTGGTCATGTCACATCTGCTCAACATCCAATCTCTTGTAGCCTCAGTTTCACAGTGCATCAGGTTAGCTCTGCTGAAACTTTGAGAAATTCAGGAAAACTATGATATTCCACCTGGAGGACCACATAAAGTTGTACTACAGTACTTGTCTCTGGCTCAGGATTCAGCATCATCTCCATATGGAAGAAATATTTGCCACTTCAAGCTATGATACTAACAGCTAGATTTGAGCTATGGGAAGAGATGATTTTGACTGGAAAAAGTTAACTATGGAAATATGTTGGTAAAAATACCAGGACCACCTGATCCCTGCATGTTTTGTCTCCAACAGGAACAGCAATCCTCATTGTAGTCTACCGATAGCATCCATGCTAGACTCAGCATTCTGCAGTCAGTTAGGACAACCTAGATAAAACAGTTTTAACGATGCAGAAGCATTGGCTCATGTGATAACCACACACGATAGCACTAAAGTACTTGACCAGGTGCACCCTTCAAGGAAACTGGAAAAGTATTATTTTTGGTTTTAGTTAAGTTCCCCCCAGAACACATTTTAGTTGTTGGTTTCCATTTACATTCCACTACAAGACAATAAAAGCAATTTAACTGTATAGCGAGTGTTACTCTGGATATGAAGAGCCACATGATTAAGACTTATAAAATATTTATTAAAACAAATAAGTGAAGACAAAGTTTACATTAAAATTCATGAGTTKAAGTTTCCTTCAGTTTTCTAAAAGCAGCACAGAGAGCYGTCAGGTGTTAAACGTAGGCTCCAGTGTTGGCTGCTGAGCGGGGAGCAGAATACTTCACAGCGTAGCCACCGTCATTGTTCTTCTTACACTGGCAGCAAAGCAGAGCCCCGCCGATGATGAGGAGTCCTGCTGCTCCCCAGCCGATGAACAGAGATGCTCCCAGCTCCCTCTTCTGTGAGTCCATCAGCATGGGGTTGTAGAAGTCTCTGATGGTCTCGTTGGCAGACCAGGACACGGGGATGAGGCACAGAACGCCAGCAACGATGAAGAACACACCTGCAGCGATGGCTATCTTGCTCTTGGCCTCTTCGTCCTCGATGCAGTTGGTGCACTTTCCACCGATGACAGCGAGCAGGAGTCCCAAGAAGGCAACCAGGATGGAGATGACAACCAGAGCTCGAGCGGCCTGCAGGTTGTGGGGCAGAGCCAGCATGGAGTCGTATACCTGGCACTGCATCTGTCCGGTGCTCTGCTGCACACAGTTCATCCACAGACCTTCCCAGAAGACTTGGGCTGTCACGATGTTGTTTCCAATGAAAGCAGAAACTTTCCACATCGGCAGGGCACAGATGATGATGCTGCCCACAAATCCAACACATGCCAGCAGTACACCAAAAATCTGGAGCCCAGTATTTGCCATATCTTGCCCACTCATGATTAAAAAGCTGTTTGAAAACTCAGCTGCTTAAACAACAAAGTTCACCTGCAGCTTTTTTGTACCCATGTGAAGGTGAGGGGCTGCCTTCTGATTCGTTGACAAAAACTGGCAGAAGTAAGCACACCTGTGCTGCAATCAAGCTGAGTGATTCCACCTGAGCTGTAGCTTCAGAAAACCTGTTAGTTTTTACTGGTGGGAAAAAACTGCTTCCACAGGAGAAACTGAATCCACAGATAACAGCATGAACTATAATATTTTTAGCTTAGAAGTGTTATCATCAATTTCATTCTAAAATATGTAGAAATATGGTCAGATCTTAAAAGTTCAGACTGTCCTTTATTTAAAAAAAACTCAATTCAAAATATCAGGAAATGTCAGAAATATCAACAAATGAACATTGTTTTATTTTTATAAACTTCTTATCAAGAGCCTTAAGTAATGATTGGTTAATGGTCAGCATAACAAGACGCAAATAAGTTATAGACACTTTAAAAGTTTTGCTTTTCAAGTACAAAGTTTGATAAAGATATGCAGCTGTTAATCCAGTCCACACTCCACATCAGTAGGTGGCGGTAATGCATTTAACAGTTGTTTGTCAAATGCCAAAAAACAAACTAAAGAGAAGAAAAAAGAGCTGCAGCTAAAACAAGAACATGAGTTGATCTGAAACGGTTCATGATTATGTTATGTTTAGTATGAGCAGGGTTCTTTCTGCAAATAAATTAAGAAATGTGTATAATAAACATTAATATAATAAATTGTTTCTGGGTTTGAAACAATAAAAATATGCAGGACTCATGAAAGAAAACAGAAATATACACAGATTTTATTGATTTGTTAAAATATAGAATTGAAAGTTTTTTACTTAGACTTTATAAAACACACAAAAAAACTTTAGACACATGTACATATATTTTATTAAAAATAAATTAAAAACTATTTTCACATTTAAATTTAACTGTCAACAAAGAGCTTTGATGGTTTGACTTAATTCATTTGTCAATTCTTCAGAAATCGTAAAAGTAGATATTTTACTCTCACTGCATTTTTTTCACATCACAAACAAGTAAAAGAAAATACAGAACATACAGCCAGACTAAATTATACTAGATTATTAAATAATCTTAGTAATTTGACATTGCCAGCACTTAAAATATTAATAAAATGTTTCCAGAACTTTCAGATATCTTCATTAAAAGTCTTGTTTTCTAGGAATTTTATATGAACAAACACTATTTGTCTTAAATTTACACTTTATTTTACAACCTTCATATCAAAACATCTTTCTTGAATTTAAAGTTAAAATGAGTTGTAAAAGTAAAAAATTTAAAAAATAAAGTTGATCACAGTAAACATTTATTGCAGATTTTCCTCAGGATGTTTTGGATGGACGTCTCTGTTCAGATTCTTCCTGTTTCCCATCATCCTCAGCATCCATGGGTACCACACAGAATCCCTCCTCCTATGATGAGCAGAGCCCCCGACACCCAGCCGACATATATGGATGCTCCGAGTTCTCCGGTCCTCTCTATGGTGTCCTGATTGTAAAACCCTGTGATGATGATGTGCGCCATCCAGCTGACAGGAATGATGCAAAGGCCTCCTGCAACGATAAACACCACTCCTCCTCCCAGTCCGAGGTTTGCTTTAGTCCGCCTGTTGTAGTCACAGCAGTTGGTGCACCAGGCTCCGACCACACTGAGCCCGATGGCCAACACRCTGACACCAAGTGAGGCACAGACCAGGCCCCGAGAGGCCTGCACGTACTGTGGTAGAGCCAGAACCGAGTCATAGGCTTTGCACTGTAAGTGGCCCGTGCTCTGAAGCACACAGTTCATCCACAAGCCTTCCCAAAAGACCTCAGCGGTGACGATGTTTGCTCCAATAAATGGAGTCACTTTCCACATGGGAAGAGCGCAGATGAGAATAGTTCCAAGAAAGCCCAGGATTGCCAAACAAAACCCAGTGATCTGAGTCTTCATCGTGTCCAAAAATAGTTCAAAGCACAGGTTAAAATTTCCCAAGAAACAGACAAAAAAATCAACCAAACGTTGCTTTAAAAATCCTTTTTGCAACAAGCCGCGGCTCAGCTGTGAACTCTGCTGGTTGTTTTTAGTGTGTTTTTTTCACGGCAGGTATAAGAAAAGAGGCTGGGAGGAGACTTACCAGTTTGTGGCTCGAGTTTCCTGCTTGTCCTGATTCCAGTTCTAAGAAAAATAAAACTAACAAAAGTGATTTGGCCATGTGACAAGAACATCTTTGTGAAACAAGAGATTCCAAACTTTAAAACCAAGGGCAATTAAGTTACGTTATTAAGCAGGGGAATACAGAAGAATACACATTTCCCAGGTTTGTACTTTTATCTGACAGTTATCCAGCAAATGCCTTGAATCCAAAATTGATTTAAAGTTATGTGTTAATACCAAAACTGCAAAATGCACATGTTCCATATACAGAACTTTGCAAAAATGTTATACCACTTCTAAAGGAACCAGAGTTTCTTGTAATCAATACTTCAGACTAATATTCAAAGTCATTTCAGATGTTTGCTTCCTTTTCAGTACTTGGATCATTCTTAAATACTTCAAGTAAACTGACATAAGGCCCCTAAACTAAAACCTAGTGGTTGTGAAGGTAAACATGGGGACAACATATTGGCACCTTTTATTTTTTTTTTTTTGCAAAATATTAGGTCTAAACAGCTGTTAAAACTAATTAAAATTATACATTTTGCTGATTTGGTTCAGATCTTTAACTGGATTCATGACACATGTTTTAAAGTTGGATACTAAGTTCACCCTGCAAACAGCACTTTTTATAGGGTCTAATTTTCCAGATTAAAAGTAAAATTTTACCTCGAGTTGTAGCCACCATTTTGAGTTCTTAACTTTCCAAGCAGGATCCACTGGATTGRTGTTCCAGTTTAAAGTTACCTGCAAGTGGGAAAAGCAAGTAATTGAGCCACAGAATATGCRGCTGGTGAAGTGGAGATTTCATTGGCTGTTTAACCCTGTTCACCTTATAGTGAGATGCCATTTTGCAGTCATTGTTATGCATTATGGGGAATGTAGTTAATGGGCAATGCTGGTTTTTAAGCAATTCTTTAAAGCTCTCAGATCACAAGATGACGTCAGGCCTTGAGTTGACACAAAAAGTCTTTACACTTTTAAGCAGAAGTCTCAAGAAATCTCACAAGTATTAGAATAGTTAGACATGGCCGTTTGGAGACTTACTCCATACACATTTTAACTGCACAGCAAATATTCACTCTGCACATTAAAAGAGGCACAAGATGATTAAAAAAGGTTTATTAAAACTGTAAAAAAAGAAGTTTACATTAAAATTCATGAGTTKAAGTTTCCTTCAGTTTTCTAAAAGCAGCACAGAGAGCTGTCAGGTGTTAAACGTAGGCTCCAGTGTTGGCTGCTGACCGGGGAGCAGAATACTTCACAGCGTAGCCACCGTCATTGTTCTTCTTACACTGGCAGCAAAGCAGAGCCCCGCCGATGATGAGGAGTCCTGCTGCTCCCCAGCCGATGAACAGAGATGCTCCCAGCTCCCTCTTCTGTGAGTCCATCAGCACGGGGTTGTAAAAGTCTCTGATGGTCTCGTTGGCAGACCAGGACACAGGGATGAGGCACAGAACGCCAGCAACGATGAAGAACACACCTGCAGCGATGGCTATCTTGCTCTTGGCCTCTTCGTCCTCGATGCAGTTGGTGCACTTTCCACCGATGACAGCGAGCAGGAGTCCCAAGAAGGCAACCAGGATGGAGATGACAACCAGAGCTCGAGCGGCCTGCAGGTCGTGGGGCAGAGCCAGCATGGAGTCGTATACCTTGCACTGCATCTGTCCGGTGCTCTGCTGCACACAGTTCATCCACAGGCCTTCCCAGAAGACTTGGGCTGTCACGATGTTGTTTCCAATGAAAGCAGAAACTTTCCACATCGGCAGGGCACAGATGATGATGATGCCCACAAATCCAACACATGCCAGCAGAACACCAAAAATCTGGAGCCCAGAAGCTGCCATTTTGCCCACTCCTGATTAAAAAGCTGTTTGAAAACTCAGCTGCTTAAACAACAAAGTTCACCTGCAGCTTTTTTGTACCCATGCTTAGGTGAGGGGCTGCCTTCTGATTGGTTGACAAAAACTGGCAGAAGTAAGCACACTTGCGCTGCAATCAAGCTGAGTGATTCCACCTGAGCTGTAGCTTCAGAAAACCTGTTAGTTTTTACTGGTGGGACAGTGGAAAAGTCTGCCAGTAGATGGGGGTAATGTACACCTTCAGTTTATTGCCAACCGCCRTTAAACACCACAAGAAGAAGAAAGTCTGCAAGTAAACAGCATGAATTATTTATGTTGTTCAAATTAAAATATGTAGAAATAAGGTCAGATCATAATAAATCTGACTGTTCAGGTCTTTTATGAAAAAGCTAAATGTAGTCAATTCAAAAGTTTAGAAAAATATTGTTTTTTTTTATTTTTATAAAGTTGGAGCTAGTATAATC